CATCAGCCAATCGTTTGGATTTGTTCCATTGAACTTCGGCAAGTCCAGCTTGAGTCATCTCTGGAAATTGCATTGAGATCCATCGGATGAGTTAGCTTGGTCCTACGTCCATCGATGAATGACAAACAAGGCATTTAATCTTTTTTAGTTTTCCACCTCAACATTTAGTTATTGTCTAGATAATAGTTACTTTACAGTTAGTGGTTATTATCTGATTACTATAATTAATTTGTCTTCATGTATAATCATTCTTTGTTCAAGTTAATAACTTTTTGAGTTGAACCACAATCAATTCTAAGTTGGCATCATAGCATTGACCTAATTCATAGATTTCAATGGCTAAAGGAAACTCCACTACCACAAGTGCAGTTGTTTCCGCTCCAGTTAATTATACCACTTCCTATCCTTCAAACATGGGCATAGTTTATGCCTATTTTTTGACTTCATCAATTGATGGGGTATGTGGATGGTTCAGTCAAATGTCCACCACAGTTTATTGGTGAATCAAGTGATAGTGATAGTGCATCCAACATCACTTCGAGTATCAACCCAAAATATATTTAGTGGCAACAAAATGATCAAATGATTCTTAGTTGGACCATTGGAACTCTTACAGAATCCACCATGGCTCATGTGGTGAGTTGCAACACATCTTATGAAGCATGGCAAAAACTTACACGCACTTATTCTTCATCCTCTAGAGTACAGGTTCAACAACTTCGTTTCCAACTAGCCAATCTCAAAAGAGGAACCTTTAGTTGTACTGAATATATTCAAGCTATTTGTACAATTACAGATAACCTGGTTGAAATTGATGAACCACATAGTGATGAAGATCTTATCCTCTCCACTCTAGGTGGGCTTGGCTCAGAGTATGATGCCTTGGCAACTTCAGTTTCAACCTGTACTGACATACTTACATTTGATGATTTTTGTGGTATGCTCATAAGTAAGGAGATTCGACAAAATGACTTGTGAACTCCAACTAATCTTCCTACTATATCTGTGAATGCCGCAACAAAAACTCAACAAGGGAGTGGGACCAATAACTCTAAGAATAGAGGTAAACCACCACAAGGTAATTCTTTACCATCAGCTAAATTATAATCATTTTGGATCTCCAAATATGAACAGGGGTCAAGGGCGTGGCACCACTAACAAGAATGGAAAGGGAAATAATGATTGTTAATTACTTCCCACATCGTATATTTTGTTAACTTTGCAGGCAGCCCGGGCATGTTGCTGTGTATTGCCCTCCACGTTATAACCATGCCTTCTTAGGTAAGGGTGTCAGTGGACCTGTTTTGGATTGGATCCCGTCCGATCCAGAATCAATTTGGATGGATTGGACAGACCAACAAGACATATTGGATTGGACCAATCCCGTCCAAAATATTTATTAGATTGGATTGGACCTGATCCATCCGTAACAAATTTATATTAGATTAGGTTGGATTAAGCCAATATCTGGTCCATTGATATAAGATAAGAATATGTGTCAATGGACCGGGTTTGGGTTGAAACCAATCTAAATCAAAATGAATTTGAATAGATTGGACGGTCTAGACATTAAATTGGTCCTGTCCAAATTGGTCCAAAACATTCATTGGATTGGATTGGACCTGGTCCATTTATAATGGACTCACATTTGACTGGATCCTATTGGACCAAATCCAATTCAATTGACATCCCTATTCTTAGGTGATATGCAATCCAATTTGGCTGCTACTCATTACAATTCTTTCAGTCATGTCTAGTATCCTGATTTCAGAGCATCCAATCACCTTACTGCAGACATGAATAATCTTCCTAATATGAATAATCTTCCTAATTCATTCAGAATATCAAGGCCCCGAACAAATTTTTGTCAGTAATGGTGCAGGTTTGAAGATATCTCATATTGGTTCCTCTGAATTTTATTCTTCTCATCACCTTTTTCTTATGAAGGACATTCTCTTGGTTCCTGAAATCAGAAAAATCGTTTATTTGTCCATCAATTTATTCGCGACAATAATGTGTGTTTTGAATATCATCCAACTTATTTTGTGATTAAGGATTGAGAGACGGAGAAGGTACTAGCTCGCAGCCCGAGTAAGAATGGTCATTATTATCTTTCAGTAGACAAGATCACACAACCACCATCAAATAAATCTCCTATGAAAGGAGAATGTGTTAGTCTTCAACATTGGCATTGTCAAATTGGTCATGCAGCAACTAATACAATCAAACGTGTTCTTCATCGTCATCATTTACCATATGTAAATAAGTGTGGTCGTTCACTTTGTGAGGCTTGCAACACTAGTAAAAGTCATAGATTGTCTCTTCCTTCTAGTAATTCATTGAGTACTATGCCATTACAATTAATTTCTACTGATGTTTGGGGACCAGCCCTAATTTCTTCTATGGATGGATTTCACTATTATGTGTTGTTTGTGGATGAGTATTCTAAATACTCATGAATTTATCCTCTTCGTCGTAGATCTGGTGTGACTCTTGTCTTCATTACCTTTAAAAAATTGGTTGAAAATAATTTTAATTGTAAAATCAAAGCAGTCCTATCGGATCCCTCCAACTATCTGGTTGACAATGATATGTTACATAGGGTCTCTTGCTTTCACACCCATGAACAGAATGGGGCTGTAGAGCATAAACATCTTCATGTGTTGAAACAGGTTTAACACTCACTCCTACATCAAGCCTCCATGACTTCAAAGCAGCGGTTTTTATTATCAATTGGTTGCCTACAAAGTTATTGCACTACATTTCACCATATGAGAAGTTGTTCTTTGAGATTCTAGATTACAGATTTCTCAAGACCTTTGGTTGCACTGTTTATACATGGTTGAGACCATATAGCAAGAATAAATTGAATGCCCGCTCCCTTGCATGTCTTTTTTTAGTATACAACCCTTCACATAAGGGTAATTTGTGTTATCTATCCTCAAAATGCATGTATATCTCTCGACATGCAATTTTTTATGAATACTCTTTTCTTTGTTCAAGAGCATCACCTCCATGTGGTTTTTCTACACCAACAGATTTGGGTACTTTTATCTTTCCTATCTCCAATCCGGCTACTACTCTTTGTTATTCTTCATCAGCACAGAGATACATCTCCATGTTCCTCATCGCATGATGATCAGCCCTTGACAAGCACATCTCCATCTTCTATTGATTTAGTGCCATCTATAGCACCACCACCTCGACATTACATGGTTACCCGTTCCCGTGATGGGACTTGGCATCCTAAAGTTATATTCTCAAGTGCTTGCACTACTCAAGAAGCTAAACCCACTTGTTTTACACAATCTGGCAATGATCCTAAGTGGCATCAAGCCATGACTGATGAATTTAATGCCCTTATCAAAAATTGAACTTGGGTCTTAGTTCCACCATGTTTCGGGTAGAATGTGGTTGGCTGCCATTGGGTCTTCAAAGTTAAATGTCACCCTAATAGGAGTGTTGAATGCTCAAACCAAACATAGCCTAAATGCTGAGGTGGACAACTGAAAAAGATTAAATGCCTTGTTTGTCATTTATGCTATTAGGTCCCCTCAAATTGAGCTCTCCATTAGAGATGCACAAATTGGAGCGAAAATGAAGAAAATGAGTGTGGGGAAGCACTTTAGTGAGAAGATCTGAAAGTTGGACGCGTAAGACACGTCAATGGGGCTGGGAGATCCAAATGTTAATGGGACTTTGGTCGTTATCTGGACGTGTCCAATCGAACCGATGCAAAAAGACAAAGAACCTAAGTTTACAGACTCTCTTCCTCATTCCAAAGCTCATTTCTCACTCCCTCCCATTTTCTGAGATTCTCTTCTACTGAACGAAACCCATAACTCGCCCCTTCCGAGAAGGATAGATGATTTCCTCTAGGAGGAGAGGTTGTTAGAGGACGCAAACTCCACCATAGTAGGCTTCAAAAGCCCATTCGAGACCCCATCCCACCACTTGCACCACCACAACTCCTTCTGGCAAGAAGACATTGTTTGTTAGTCCTGCCTTGTGAGCCCCCACCAGAACACTACATTTATTCAACACCCTAGAAAGCTCTCGTAAATTCACCATTTGATCAGGTGAAGCTCTAATCACATGGTACCCCAATCCTTCTGCCACCCTCACCAGATCATCTTCATTTACGAACATTCTCGTCCTTTTGCATGAAACAAGGACCATATTCAGCTCTGGCATCTCAAACTCATGCTTTACTCTCAAGTTGAACGATTCTCAAAGGAGCTGCATGAAGTCTAGTGTAGAGTATCCACTAGGAATTCTGCTGGTGTTGCTTGTAATTGTACTTGAGCCCAACAACAGCTATAAGAAAGTAGTGCACCCTACTGTTGTCGGCCGGATTGATGACTCCATAGCTCGATAAGCCTAAGAGAAGTGGGTCAAATTTAGTGACCCACCAGGCATTGAAGTTAGTCAGAATGAACCTTATGCGCGATTGAAAATGGTGGCTTGAGGAAAAGGGGGATGGCGATATCGTTGAATTCATAGTAGAAGTTGTCGGTGTAAGTGGTAGCGAATATAACGACAAGGACATCTTGCATAACATCACAGGCGGGTGGGTTATATGTGTTGTTTGGGATCTTTTTCTCCATCGGAGTAACAATTCTCAAGTTGTTCTCATCTTCCTTCTTGGGGTAGAGTTGAACCCTGAGTGGCGCATCCGGTGGGATTTGTTTGGACGACATCTTGATCTTCACTTGTTGGTCGGCAACACACACGTGGTCGAGCCCAACCATGAAGAGGTCTACTACCAATATAAAGAAACATGCACTCAAAACCATAGCATTTGATGAAAGAAGAAGAAGAAGAAGAAGAAGAAGAAGAAGAGGAAGAGAGAAACGTACCATTGGAGCTCTCGCCATCACTGCCGACGATCACTGGTTCAAGCCACAGTGTGGGTAGGGTTCGGTCTCCAAGAGAAAAACATGGAAAGAAAAGTAAAAAATGAGGTTTGTTAGGGGTTTTGATCTCCTTTTTGTCATTTTTCATTGGTTGAATTGCCAAACCCGACTAACGGCACTTAGAACATTAACGGTATGCATTCCTTCTCCTGGTTGACATGGAGGACTCTGATTCACAGGTTCACTCGTCCAGTGCACCCATGGGGGCACAGAACGCGAACTCTCCAAATTATGACTGGCCACCTTGTCACGAACAAAATGAAAATCCACTTCTAAATGTTTGGTTCTGGAGTGAAAGAAGATAGGATTAGCAGTCAGGTAGGTTGCCCCTGCATTATGACACCACAAAATGAGAGGCACAGGGAGAAATATACCCAATTCACCAAGCAAAGATTGAATCCATGTTAATTCAGTAGTTGCGGTGGCAAAAGAGCAATATTCCGCTTCAATAGAAGATTTGGCAATGGTGTGTTGCTTATGAGAAGCCCAAGAAATAAGATTGGTCCCGAGAAAAATAGCATAACCACTAGAGGATTTGCAGTAATCAGGGTTGCAAGCCCAATCCGCATCCGAATAAACAAAGAGTTGGAGAGTAGAGGAAGGTTGAAACCGGAGCCCAAATGTCGAGGTGGAGTTAAGATAGCGAAGCAACCTTTTTACAGCAGTCCAATGTTCTGTAGTGGGTTTGTGCATGAATTGTGAGACCCAATTAACCACAAAGGCAATATCGGGATGGGTAATCATTAAGTATTGCAACATACCAACAATGCTCCTGAAGGTAGATGGATCTGAAAGAGCAGAACCAGATGTAGCAGAGAACGTAGTTGATAGAGACAGGGATGTAGATACTCCCTTGGATTCTAGCATCTTAGATCGTGTAAGAATATCCAAGATGTATTTATGTTGATGAAGAAGAATGCCTTTAGAGTTGTATGAGACTTCAACACAAAGAAAATAATGCAAATTTCCTAAGTCACGTAAAGGAAAGGTGGATGCTAATAACCTAATGAGATGTTGAACTACATCATTGTTATTGCCAACAACCAGTAAATCATCAACATATATTAGAAAATGAATGATGAGATTATTGTCATTTCTGTAAATGAATATGGAAGAACCAGTTTTGGAGCCAATAAATCCATGTCCAAGCAAGATGCTAGTGAATTGTTGAAACCAAGCTCGGGGGGCTTGTTTCAAACCATATAATAAGAGTTTGAGGAGGCACACATGACATGGGTTTTGAGGATCAACAAATCCCAGGGGTTGTGTCATAAAAACCTCTTCCTCTAAATATCCATGTAAAAAAGTATTAGAAATAAGTGTCTAACTGTCAAATTGTCTGATTAGAAGAAATGGCAAATGAGAGGATTAGTTGAACGGTTGCAGGTTTCACAATGGGGCTAAAAGTTTATTTGAAATCAACTTGGACACGTTAGTGAAAGCCCTTAGCCACCAAGCGTGTTTCTTTCCCTACTTTTTCCTTCAAACCAAACATAGTTATTGTCTAGATAATAGTTAATTTACAGTTAGTGGTTATTGTGTGGGTACATGTATAATTGTTCTTTGTTCAAATTAATGAACAACATTTTTGAATTGAACTGCAATCAATTCTGAGTGATAGCACAAGCACAGGAGTTTTCCTACAATGAGGCAGAATTATTTCATTCATCTATCTGAAGAAATGAGGATTTTCTATATCAATGCCACGTTTTCAATTAATCCACCCACAAAGGAGGCATGCCGACCATGAGTTCTTCTGGAAGCATATACCAACCCTGAATTTCTGATTCTGATTCTTCCATGTGATATCAACAATAGACAATGCGTCAATGCCTACTTGAAAACAAGAAAAGAATAATAAACAAGTCTTTTGTCTCTTGTTCGCTTCCTCTGTTTTTCTTTCATATTTCTAAATCGGAAGAGTGCGATAATGATGATAAAAAGAAAGGCAGGAATCCATGAATTTGAAAACTCCATGCAAACCCTCGTCATTGATTGGTCTGAAAATTTAGAAAAGTCTGAAACAAATATTTTAATGCTCCAACTCTTTAGACGTATTGCTAGCTCTTTTCCAAGTGTAGCCCGTAGCCACTCCCACAGACGCATAAAAAAACGACTCAAAAGAGTAATGATGATGAAGGAGAAAGTACACTTGCATCAAATACACCGTGTTTAGTGCTACCACGTGGATCCTTCACTGACCAGAAAAATTAGGTGCATGAGAATATCCTTGCCACGTGGCAGAGAAGGGTGCCCTAAGCCGTTTTGTGAATAGGGAATAAAAGTATAAAGCAGTCTGTGAGGCCAATGCTAGGGGATGGCATTAGATTAGTAGGCCGACGCGTGTCATTAGCATTACGAATAGAAAAAGATCAAAGAGTCAAGACTGGTACTGACTTTCTAGGACCAGTGTCTGGTGGTCTCTCCTTTTTCTTTTACTCCACTACCTTGATTTTCTTCTTTTGTTTCCCCATATCACAATCTATGGCTCCACACACGGAGCCGGCACATGCACCATGAAATATGGCAAATTTTGTCAATAGTGGGTCCCCCAGTTTGTCATCAGTTGTGGGTTCCACACAAATTTTTGGATGTATGGTGATTGATAAAAGTCAAATTGAGGACCTTCTATATTCTACCTGATGGAAGGTTTAGATTGGCCACATGTTGCGTAAATAATGAGGCTTGTCTTGGAAGCTTTCCTGCTGCTTGACCCCAGTTAATGCATAGTCCATATTAATTTTTGAAAAGCATACCCCCAGGTCATCTCAGTGTGTGTTGGCTGTTTGGTTGAAATGACTTGCCTCTAAGTCTAGGACTTCCCTTTATAATATCAACATTGTTGGAAACCGATTTTTACCGGGGAGAGTTTATCTTTCGCTACTTAATTTTAATTTTAATTTTAGGATACAAGCATCTTTCAAGCTGACGCACAATATTTATTTAGGTTGAAAGTTAGATTCGGTCATTAAAATGGCACCCTGAGAAGTAGGAACAAATTTTTTTATTATGAATTGACCATGTAAAGCCCTAAAATTTAAATATTGATTCTGGACAATCATAACCATTCGAGTATTGTGCATATATATATATATATGCAAGCAAGCTGGCCATCTAAGTGTGCTGTGCCATATATAATTCAACCACTAATCTGGTTCATCCAAATTATGCGCCAAGATCAATCAATTTGGACTCATGATCAGCCCACTTAAGAGGTATCCTATGTATAACATAGCCAACTTTCTTTTGACTCAATGAGAGTGGAACTAGTCTGGATCAGCCCCTCACATCAAAATGATTTTTCGTATTTATGTTCTTATGTATTGTTATTCATGGAGAGTTATGCCTTATATGATGGAATGTGCTGTGAGGTCGGTACGAAGTATGATTTCCGAGGAATAAATCCTGATTCATGAGAGGATGCTTATTGGCAAGCATCAAAATATCCACACACACGGGGATGGATGGTATATAAGTTTGGGATGATAGAAGACATCATCTCAAGCTGATAAAAAAGTCATAAGTATCGATCTTATCAATACCATTGCCCAATTTTTTATATTGGGTGTATATCGATATATTGATCATTGCTTATTATAACCAATATTTGACTGTTTCTAAGTTCACTGCTAGCTTTTCACGGTTTACATGGAGCATCCATAAATGAGCCATAGCAGTCTGGGACTGAACTCCATCATTAGGATTTAAGGGTGCAAATTGGATCATGACCAATTCTATCCTACTTTATCAGATTTGGATATCACCCTTTCAGTTTTTAGATCAGATCGGATCAAATCAAATAATAGGATCCAATTGGAGAGACTTGAAAGATTTAGGGGTCGTTTGGCAAGTCTTTTTGAGAAGATCTTGTAGTAGTTTTGACAATCAAAAGATATATTCAGCTTTTGAATTAAGATCTAAGCAGTCTGAAGCCCATTTGGTTAAGGCATATCTTTCCACATGAAGATGAATAAAAAAATGCAAGAGCTCCATTTGGAGCTTTCAAAAAATTGTTCGTTTTGGGCTTCTTGCATATTTTTGGTTGCATCGGCTTTTGACGGCTAGATCTATCACAAACCAAACAGGAAAAGACCAAATCATGATCCACCGGGCTTGTAAATAACCGATAAACTACACGAAAAGACGTGCCAAACAGGGCCTTAGTTTCTAAGAGGCTTGATCGGGCTCTGGTTTCACATTCTTGGATTTCAATTTTTAAAGGAACTTGGGTGCATCATCTTCCTACAACGGGAAGATATGAGGCTTCTTGGGTTAAACACCCTAACTTCGTTCAGATTGTGAGGGATGCATGGTGATGAAAGGGAATTTGGCCCGACCTCGCAATCACCCGACACGTGGCAAAAAACAAGCAACTCGGGACAGTAGAGCACCCGAAGTGAGCACCGAAAGCAAGTCCAAGCTCACTACTGAGCCCGAACTCCACCAGACCGCCCTAAAAGGAGCCCGAGCTCCCTACCAAGAGTCCAAGCTCCCTATTGGGAGTCCGAACTCCCTATTAAGAACCCGAGCTCCCTACTGAGAACCCGAGCTCCCTGCAAGGAGCACGAACTATATTGGGCCCTAAGCCCCACAAAGTTGTGACCCGAGCTAGCCCATGGCAGCTCGGAACACTCCCCAAACCGAACTCAAGACATCTCGCTCGCCACTCCAACACTTCGCTTCCGAAACACCAGG